AAAAAAAAAAAAAAAAAAAAAGAAAAAAGAAAAAAATGTGGGATCTGAACGATTGTCCGGATGAGAGGAAGGAGGATGAATCGGAAGGGTGTTGGTCAGCGAAGACTTGGATTGAGGGAGAGGGGGAAGAGGAGAAGGGGAAAAGAGTGGGATCCGTTTCAAATTCCAGTTCTTCCGCGGTGCTTGTGGAGGATGGATCCGATGAAGACGCGCCCACCCCCAACGCATTACTCATGCAAATTAACGCACCCAGTCCCGTCACACGCCAGTTTTTCCCACTCCAACACCCTCAAATCTCTTCTTCCTCTTCTTCTCCTTCTCCAACTACTGCTTCTACCTTCCCTCAGGCTCACTGGGTTGGGGTCAAATTTGGGCATCCCGATCCTTTTGCCGCACCCGCTCCTCCTAATTCCATCAAGTCCACCGAGATTTCCCAGCCCATTAAGAAGAGTCGCCGCGGACCCAGGTCCCGTAGCTCTCAGTACCGTGGCGTCACTTTCTACCGGAGAACCGGCCGTTGGGAGTCACATATTTGGTCCGCTCCGTTAACAATCTTTTATAAAATAAATATATGTTCCTCTCTCTCTCTTGCCCTGTCTACTGCAATTTCTGTTCCCGAAAACCCACTTCTGCTTTTGGAATTGATTTGAATTTGAATTTTTTGTGTGTTTGGTTCTTGGTTTGTACAGGGATTGTGGAAAGCAGGTTTATCTGGGTATGTTTGGTTTGGTATTGCTTACTTTTTATTTATTTATTTTATTTTTATTATTTAATATTGTTTTTTTTTTTTTTGGGGGGGGTGGGGGCGTGGATATCATTCATTTCTGGTCTTCTAACGAAGAGATTTGGTTTTCTCCTCCGCGTCAAATGAATTGGTTACAGGTGGATTCGACACGGCACATGCAGCTGCTCGGTGAGCACTTATGTTCGCTTGTCTCTGTGTGTGTGTTAACCAGAATTGAAATTTGAAATGGGAAATTGATGCTGTTGTTGATGTCGTTGTGCAGTGCTTACGATAGAGCGGCCATTAAATTCCGCGGAGTGGAAGCGGACATAAACTTCAGCATCGAAGATTACGAGGAGGATTTAAAACAGATGGGAAATCTAACGAAGGAGGAATTTGTGCATGTACTGCGCCGACAGAGCACTGGGTTTCCCAGAGGAAGCTCCAAGTATAGAGGCGTAACGCTTCACAAGTGCGGAAGATGGGAGGCCAGAATGGGCCAATTTCTTGGCAAAAAGTATTCCCCCCCGCCCCCCCTTCTTCTTCTATTTTCATTTAAAAATAATAATAATAATTAAAAACATATTAAGACCCCCCTTCTCCATTTTTCTTTTGTTCCCTGGATTTTACAGGTATGTGTATTTGGGTTTGTTTGATACGGAAATTGAAGCTGCAAGGTGAGTTTTATTGTTTACAATGATGCAGGAAGGATCTGCCATTGTTGATGTTATTATTATTTATTTATTTATTTAAAAAAAAAAAAAAGAAAAGAAATAATCTGATGATGATAAACGATAGGGCTTATGATAAAGCTGCAATCAAGTGTAATGGCAAGGAAGCTGTCACTAATTTCGATCCCAGCATCTATCAGAATGAACTGAATCCTATAACTGGTAAAAAGGAAAAAAAGAGAGCATTGTTTTTAAGTTGTTGTGGTAAATGAATTTTGCAAAATTTTGTTTTAATTTCTGATTCTACAGATTCAACCGCCAATTTGGGAGATCACAGTCTTGATTTGAGTTTGGGAAATTCAAGCTCAAACCAAAACGACACCCCAAAGCCTTCCATAGATCCCCACCATTCTTCTTCTTCTTCAGCTCCTCTATCCATGGAAGACGACTGGCAACGCACTCATGGATTTAGGCGTCCTCAGGTTCTTCCAACTTTCCATTTTAATAATATATTTTAATGCTTAATTAAGGTAATGGGACCTTTTTATCTCTATATGTCTCCCAATTTTAATAAATTTCAACAATATTTATTCTGAATAGCTAAATTTGGTAGAAGAATCAAGTGGAGCAGGTGGAAATAAACATTTGAAGGCGGCAGAGGGAAGAAATAATAGGTACCTGGAGAGTGAAACGATGCAGCGTCTAAGCCAAACGCACATTCAATCTCCAGCTTCATTTGAAATGCAAAGACACGCCCAATTCAGCCGGCAGGTGGCGGGTGGGGATCACAATCACAATCACAATCACAATCCAACCCTCAATTATCAAGTGGGTGCTACTGCTTTAACTATATATGCATATGTTTGTTTAGACAAGAAAAAGAAGAACAAGAGGAACTAAGAAAAATTTGGATGTTTGTTTGTTTTGTTTTGTTTGTTTAAAGATTCAGTTTGGGGGCAGCAGTAATGGTGGAGGAGGGCGAATAGGAAGCGATCTATCACTGTCTCTAAATGATCATAATCAAGTTGTCGATTGTTCGGGGCCATCTCAAGCTCTTGCAACTGCTGCAGCATCATCAGGATTCGCACCCCCTTCCAAAAATTGGCTGCACAACAATGGGTTTCACTGTCTTATGAGACCCTCCTGACATCTTCATTTTTTTTTTTTTTTTTTTTTAAATTTTCCNAAAAAAAAAAAAAAAAAAAAAAAAAAAAAAACAAAAAACAAAAGATTGATGAAAGCTTAATTTTGTTATCTATTATTTTAAATTTGTGAGTCTCCAGTTCCCGATGAGAATCTAAAAAGAAAGGAGGAGAAATGAATCCCCCTGAAAATTGAACGTAATGTGATGGGTAGAGAAAAAGGTAGATATATATATTTTTTGATTGTGAGCAAGAACAACTCAATACGTTGATTAGCAATTCAGAATTGGTATATATATAATTTTTGAAGAAGTTTCAATACGGTGTTATTGTAAAGTAGTGTATGGTTATTTGATTGATTGCCTTACAACGCTTGTGTTGCAATATTCAATCAACATTCTGGAAACGATTCTCATTTTTTAAAATTTTACTATGTATTATTATATTAATGTAAAAAAGAAGAAGAAGAAGAAAAATGGCGTGTTAGAGAGAGAGAGAGAGAGAGGGTGTTGGGAATGGCAGTGAATGGGGGGATGAATAGTCAGCATCATGGTGTCCTTTGAATCAATTCTCCCTCACAGGCCAAAAGCAGTCAGACAGTACTATTATGACGACTCGTTCCTTTCATCCCTACACCCCAAACCCCAAACCCTTCCTGTTTCCTCCCTCCCTTTTCACTACACCACTTAATAATAACAATAATATGTACTTATTTATTTATTATTTCACTTTTTCTTCGTATTCTAGGACACCAAGTTTGTGATTATAATAGGATCTGATTATGAATGGTTTATTAAATTAAAAAAAATGAAAACCAGAGCTGAGTTGAGTTCAATTCAACTGGATTTGATTATTTCGATGACAGCGGGATTATTCAAACCCAAACCCTGTTGGGATTTATATAATTTTCGTAAAGTTTGGTGGAAATTGATATAATATTGGATGCAAATTTCGTCACTCGGACCGTCATCACTTATTATTTTAATCTATCCCCCCCTGATTAGTATAATATAAAGTCTGAAAAGGGTGCTACCACATTCACCCATTTGTGGGTGCCCTTTTTTTTATTCATCAAAACCCCCTTTTAATATGTAGTCAACCAATGGATTTGAGATATGATTGTGTATATTATTATTAATATTATTAATTTGATTAAGCAACTAAATTAATTAGAGAAGTGAGTAATAATATCCAGTGAAATGCAATTGCAAGAAATGGAAGAAACAAACAAACAAACCAACAAAGTGGAGTCTTATTTGTGTGTCTAAAATAACATAACATATAAACATAAGAACATGCTCACCTCTCTACATCCTTTTGTTTCGTTGGGCTTTGCATCGAATCTATGAAACACTGCAAAGAACCTCAGATGTAAACACATTCAAAAAAGAAAAAAAGAAAAGAAAAATCCCAGTCTACCTATAAGCCCCCTATGAGTTAGGTAGGTAGGTTTTAGCGTTGAAAATAATTGTCCAACAGCCACAGCCACAGCAAAGAGAGAAGAGGTAGCAGAGGATAGCGGTGATGCATATACATCTCATACAGAAACACGATCCCCAATGGGGAAAACTTCAAACCAAAGTTGAAGCAGTGGGTTTGTTTTGTGTATTTCCATGATTTAGAACAAAAAAAGAAAAAAGAAAAAATTTGAGTGTGTATTTCCATTTATGGCATTTGATGCCTCCTCCACTTCCCCCACCACATTCAATTAATTTAGACTACAAATCAAAGGAAGTAGTACACGTCGAAGAAAGGGCGTAGTAAGTAAGTAAGTAAGTATGTACGTACGTACGTACGTATGAGCTGGGTTCTCCTTCTCACTCTTCTCTCCCAGTAGATAACATCTTTTAATCATAATAATATATAGTATGCATAATCTCAACTCAACCTTATAGTTAATACCACTTGTTCACCAAATTATACAATTATTTGGGTGTACATTGTAAGCAAACCAAACATATACCACCACTAACTCCAAATTAAATTAAATTTATAAATAAAATAAAATAACCCACTGGACCACATTCTTAGCTTTGTTCTATCATATTTTGTATCATATACTAATCAAACTCCAAAATTCCTCACTTTCAACTTGTGCATTCATTTATTATTACAAAACTGTTGGTGTAACCAATCTTTTATTTTCTAAATCTATCTTACTCTACATTTTAGTGAGTAATTAACATTATAGTTCTTTAATACACAAACAACACAATGCCTTCCCTTATATTTAGGTTACCAAAGTAAAGAGTTTCCTGTTTAGGAAAGTTGGGGATTGTTGAGATTTAAAATTACGCATTATTCACCTCTCACCTCTTGGCCAACCCCAACCAATTGCTTCCTCCTTTAATTACTTCCTTTAAATGCCCAAAAAGTGTAATTAGGTTAAGGTAGGTGCATTTTTATCCAACCTTTTGGCTTTTCAATTAATTCATACACTTGAACCCTGCTTTCCTTTTCCCTTCCCCATAACTATATATACCCTAATTCAGATTAATTTCAAATGGGCCGTTCTCCACTTCGAGACCCATAATACAGAAAGCCCATTGAAGAACAAAAAAAATAAAAAATCCTTCTTCCAGAAAAGGAAGGTTCATGAATTCCCATCATCTGAGCTTAGCGACTGATATGACGGACAAAATATGGCTTAGCTTTGAAGAACACACAAATCAAATTAATGCTAAAAAGGGAATGCCTATATTCTCAGGTTACTACTTTTAGAGGCGACAAAGAAATGATGCGACTTCTGAGATGATGCCCTTTTGAAATGGAATTAGATGGTGATGGAATAAGAAGCAGAGACGTGTTCAATGTGGCAACCCAAAATCGACCTTTAACAAACAACTTCTCGTTTGGACAAAGAGCAAAATGAAATGAACAACTCCAAATCTTTATACTTTCAAAGAGACTTGAATACCTAATTAAAATAAGAAAGAAAAAACAAAGGTCACATTTTTAAAGATAACATAGCATAGTAGTTCTTGTTGACTTTGGAGCCACCAGTCAAATCTGTCTTAATCCAATAAAAGGTAACAACTTTTATTCATTCAACTACCTCCAATTTCATCTCCCTACAAAACCACATCAAATTTGTTGGGAGACAATGGCGATGAGTTATGATCAGCTGATACGACGGCACAGACCGCCAGTTGGCAAATCTCGATCCTAGGATCAACCGCCAATACTTCCTTGAACTCCAACAAAATGTCTCTAAAATACCTTACGTGCTTTCTAAGAGGAGCATCCGGCGACGCCGCCACAGACCCAGCCCACAGAGTGTTGTCGTAGCCAATCAGACCACCAATTCTCACAAGATCAATAACCCTCTTACTTATGGTAATTCAAGTAACTATCCTTATCCGCATCCACAAAGATAAAATCAAACGTCCCATGATATGTTCCCTGTAATATTTAAATACCACATGAACGATGTGGTTAAGATGCATAACAGAGAATTGGTTATCACTATAATTAATTTTGTAAGTTGACTCAATTTAGATACTTGTTGGAGCATTTGGTCAAAAACCAGCAAAGTAGGGCCTTCTCTGAAATCAATCTTACGAGTAACGCCAAGTAAAAGCCCTCCAATGGGCTTTCGTTTTGGTTTACTGTTATTCTCTAATCCATATTTAAATTCTTGGACCTTTTGGTTTTATTCAACAACGTTCGAAATTAAAACGTATTTATATATAATTTTTGCTTAATAAAGCTCTCCAAGTAAAAGCTTATTTTAAACTTGATTGAATTTTGGAAGGATTTGAGTGTGATTTATGTGTTTAAGAATTGGATGAGTGCATTCAGTTTGACCCCCTTGTGAGAGTGAAGGTGAAAGGAGGCAAGGTGTGTGATGGGTTGTCGGCGAGAATTTAGGGTCTCTGATTTGTGCACAGTCCATTGATTCATGTCGTCAACAATTGGCGGATAAAGAGTCTGGAGGTCGGGTGGATATTCCCTTATTTCCTCCATTATCGTCGAATCGGATGTTGCCCAAGTCATCGATCTTCTCAGCAAAGCACTGTAAGACCTCACAGATATCAAAATCTCATCGAAAAAGCTGGAAATTGAGCCGGGCGATTGGGTGTTGAAATTATATTTATAAAGTTTTTCCAAGGAAAATAAAAGGTTTGCTACTGGGAATTGGAACAGAGTTGAAACGACATCACATCACCAGTATCAAAATTCTTTTCTTTTAGCAATATCTTTTTCGAGGGACTGGAACATCGAGTGACGTCACTACGCAGTGGATCAATGGGCCAGCCTTCCCCGTCGTCTCCTCATTACGACGTGTCCAGAGGATAGAATGATTGAGGCCTCGAGATTTGCAGCAGATTATTTAATCCTACGGCCCACGGTGTTTCAACACACTCCAATTTCATCACTTTCGGTATGTGGTTTGATTGGTGGACCTTCACTTTTAGCAAATGGTATGTTCCCGAGGTATTAAATTGCACGTGTCTGTGTCGTGCGATTCTTTTATCATTTATGCCTTTTCTTTCTTTTACCAAATTAAGAACTTCCTTTTATTAAACTTATATTTAAACACTGCCTAACTTTGTTTAATTAACACTCAATAGGTTACTCTACACTTCAATTTTATCCCTTAATATATAATATCAACTCTTTTTTAAAAGTTTTTGTCAAATTATCTCATTTTTAATCATGCGTGTTATCGGGATGATGAATTGTTTTTTTAAAAAGAATCAAAACATATACAATATCTAATCCAAATATTAGTATATATTCAAATATGAATTGTTTCACATATATTTTACTTTACTTTACTAAAGGTTGTAGTAAATATAAGGAGAACATCTCTACCATTCTCAAGATAGTCATACCATGCCCATTAGGAATGGGCTCGAATAAGTGTTGTGGGTTCAACCGTTTCTAAGTTGATGGAGACTAGAAATTGCAAGCATGGAACCAAAATTAGTACTTGTCCTTCCTACCGGAGAAAAAGGAAAGTCTAAATTATTATTTATTTACAAATACATCTAACGATTAACAAAAAGAGTAGATAATAATTTTGATTAAGGAGAACCCACATTCATAACAGTCAATTTACAACCTAATAGGTTTGAATGTAGCGTTTGGAGTAAAATTTTGTGTATATTGGGCACAGTCTCTTGGTTAGAAGACAGAAGAACAGTCCCATTAAACGATGAAATGTGTCAGTATTAACCCATATCAAATAATACAAAATAAATAAATAAATAAAAAGAAGAAGAAGCAGAAATGACGTAAAAAAAGGAAAAGAAAAAATGGGAGCCAAATTTTGTTAAATATTATGGAGTTTTACGAAAACAAGCGTTATTTTAAAAGAAAAAAAATATTGTCCAATTTTTAAAAAAATGGAGGGGTACATTAATCGTTAATTAGAATAAAATAAAATGGTGGGGCTCACGTGCGAGAGGAGGAGAGTGGAAAGATTAAAATATCTTAACTCACGGTCCAATCATGGTTCACTTACTGACAGTTTTTTGACCACGCTCCCCGAAAGCTCATCCTCTTACTATTCTCTTCCCTACTCGCTCCCTCCCCGCGTCTTCCCCACCTTCTCGTCAAAATTTCATTATTATTAAAACATTCCAATATTATTTATACAAAAAATAATTTTGGAAGAGTAGAGGAGCGGAGACGACGATGCTGAACACACCCGATACTCAAAACAGTGTCATTTCAGAAGTAATTTAAAATGACAAGTTAGAACAACACTCCTCTGCTTCGCTCTAAAATGGACCATTCCATTTCCAACAAATGCGATCCAAATGCATGTATTTCTTCCACGTGGACTCTCCCCGCCGTCTCCTCCGACGAAATCTCTCTCTTTCTGCAACACATTTTGCCACGTTCCTCTCCCTCCATCTTCTCTGACCTCTCCTCCAACAGTAGACCCATCACCCCCCTACCCCAAAACATTCCCCCTTCCTACACTACGCCTAATGCACTACCTGCCCACCGGATCTCCGCCGTCGATTCCTCAGAACAGTTCGCGAATTCCGCATCATCAGCTGGATTACATGATCCCTTCCGCTCTTGTCCCACACCCACACCTCCAAATGCGTCCTCTACATCAGTTGGGGCTAGTGATCACCACGAAAACGATGAGTTTGACTGCGAAAGTGAGGTAACTACTTCATTCCTCTTCTGGGTTCTGTTTTTTTTCCTTTCTTTTGCAGCTCTTTTGTTTATTTAAATGCGTAGGAGGGTCTGGAGGCATTGATTGAAGAGATGCCTTCAAAGCCTTATCCTCGCAGTTCTTCCAAGAGAAGCAGAGCCGCTGAAGTTCATAATCTCTCCGAAAAGGTACTGCTCCTTCCTTCTGTTTTACCTTCGAAACATTATAACCATGATCTTACTTTCATCCCTTTTCCGAGCAGAGAAGGAGGAGCAGAATTAATGAGAAAATGAAGGCCCTCCAAAATCTGATCCCCAATTCTAACAAGGCAACACAATTCATCTCAAAATTTAATTGCCGTTTGGTTATGGTTCCATCTCCCTTTTTTTGAGTTATGTTGTTTGTTGGTTGGAACAGACAGACAAGGCCTCGATGCTGGACGAGGCAATTGAATATCTGAAGCAGCTGCAACTTCAAGTTCAGGTGGGTTCGCCGTCTTTTGTAATTATACATAAATAATAACATTCTCTTACTTCATTTCTGGTTTCATTCACATCAACCAACCAGATGCTGTCAATGAATCATGGCTTGAGTTTGCATCCTATGAACTTGCCTGGAACTTTGCAGTATCGCCAGCTTTCCCACATGAGAATGGACTTTACTGAAGAAAACAGATCACTTTCCTCTGACCAAGAAAGACCAAACCGGGTTTTTCTCAGCTTGCCTGACCAAAAGGCTGCCTCCATCCATCCTTTCATGCCAGACATTGGAAGAAGTAATGCAGAAACTCCATTCGAATTGGTCCCTCCCGTCCAGGGTCATCTACTCCCCTTTTACTCGAGGGAATCCTCCAAGGTAAAACTTTCCAATACTCCCTAGCTTGAAAACAGAATTTATCAAAAACCCCTTCAACAAAAACTAGAACTCACAATGCTTGAACTTTGGATGTAGCGTTTGAAGGAGATTGGCACAGATGTAAAGCGAGATCACCAAGTGAATGCGACTCAATCGGAGACGACTCCCTTTGGTGCTTAATCTGATCGTAAATACTCCATTTCCATGACTTCTTAAGAATCAACAAAATGAGATTGTGTTTTGCTTTGTTTGTTGCAGTGTCATTACCCTATAACATAGCAGCGCCTGATTTGCAAGAATTGCAGAATTGCGTTTCAGTGGAACCGTGCATCATTGAAGGCAACCGGTCAGGTGTGGTTCTAAACACTCCAGAGCACAGCCATGTGTTCCCTTCCCTTTTCAATGGGTAAATATACTTAAATCCAACTTGGTTCCTTTTGTTTTTCTGTCATTTTCCTTACTTTTGGTTCGCATATTTTTCCAGCATAGACACAGGAAGACCAACTGAAACAACAGGGCCGCAATGATAAAGATTGTTGACATTCTCTGTGGCTACGTTCTGTTAAAACTATTCGCAAGCATTGAGCTGGTTAATTATGGAGAGGATCTGCACAGTTATCCCCTCTTGTACAATTCTGCATTCAAGTTCTGAGTGAATTTTCTTCATCATTACTTCATGGGTTGAATCGTTTTTCTCATCCATCTTCTGGGTTTACCCATGTTTCCTGTTTCTAATATATATATTTCGATCATCTGTGATACTTTAGAGAAAGTGCTCCTTCGACAACTCTTCATTCCAGCCCATCTATTTTGAATCAACATGTAAAAGGGAGACAACCTGTAGCTAATTCCACTTTTCTTCACTGATTTTTCATCCCCAATACCCTTTAACACCTAATCAGTTTAAGCTTCTGCAGTCGAGAACATACTTTTGACACTCGGTCAACGATGGAATCTGCCTTTGACAGAATATGTTTGGATCCAGTAAAGATCTCGATTTTAGAGCTATTAAAAATAATTAACTTTGAACTTCACAATATGAACATTTCAGGATGGGCACGTCACAAATGTTTAGAGCATTCAAGGTATCAACTCTTTCACAAGGCATGGGCATGTGTTCTACTTGTTAGTCTACTTATTAGTTATAGACGATTAATTAGAGATAAATGAAAATTGCAGAAAGTCATCGCATAATAATGTAAATGAGTGAACTTTCATATATATATTTTTAACTTTATTAGAGAATTTGTCGTTATCTTCAAGGTTCAGCAGAAAGAAGAGATTTTGTTGGATGTTAAATAAATAAAATTAAACCAAATGTTCCTATTTAAGATTTGTGTTAAATTATTGTCCAATGAGTGGAAGATGGGTCAAAAAGTCAAATCTTTTTAGACGTAGGGTGGAGGCAGTTGAATGAAATAATGAGGGTGAGGGTGATCCATACTGGACAACTTTTTCCGAATATTTGGTTTACTATTTTGGGAGGTTGGATCCGCCTACCGAAGGCGATATTTGTGCGGAGGTGATTCAGCTGAAACAAAATTATGTATTTAATGAGTGCCATTTCTCGCGTTGCATGGCATAGTTTGATGAAGTTCGTAAGGATTTCTCTACCCGCGTAAATTCTAGTGGGAATCCCAACAAAACACTAAATTGGGATTGCGATTTTATGGATTCCAAAAGGTCCCATCATGCCAGCTGCTTCTTACTCTTCCTTTACTCATCTTTCTCTTTCACTGCCTCCCGCCTCTCTTGCGTCTCTCTTCTGACCACCGACTATAAGTTTAGCCCTTCGATTCTTTGGGTTTAGGGGGCGGGTGTGTAGGAGGAGCTCTGTGATTCTGGTGAAACTAAATTGGATAGCTAGAATGAATGTCTGATCACAAATCAGGCTCCATGACCGACCAGCTCTCCAGCCAGACTTCTATTTTTGGCCTACGCTTGTGGGTTGTACTTGGGGTTTGTGTTGGAGCTGCTTTTGTGCTTTTTCTGTTTCTAATCTCTCTTTGGATTGCCTCCAAACGCTCTCGCAGGAAGATTTCTCACAGACCCACAATTCCAGTTGACTCCAAAGAAATTCAAGAGATCAGAATCGATCATGCCCTCGCTCAAACCCAAGAACACAAGCCAACTAGACCCCATTTTCAGGTCGACCATCTTCCAGAGCCGGAGCTTATCCCCGGAATTGAGCGGCAAGCGTTGCTTTCGTTGCCTCAGGATGAAGAACGAGTGAATAGAATTAATATTGAGATCGGGAAGGATCATAGGATTTCCTATCCTGAGCGACTTGGTCGGTCGTCTTCCTCGCAGGGCAGTGGAGAGGGCCGATGTGGTGGCGATCAGTTGCCTATAGTGGTGCCTGAAGTTTCGCATTTGGGTTGGGGGCATTGGTACACTCTCAGAGAGCTTGAAGCTTCGACTAATGGTTTTTCCCCTGATAACGTAATCGGTGAAGGTGGGTATGGAATTGTTTACCATGGCATATTGGAGGATGGAACTCAGGTTGCTGTTAAGAATTTGCTAAACAATAGGTACTCTTTTTCAGTCTTTATGCATTAATTTCTTCAACTTTAATTTCCTCTGCCTTTGTTTGTGGACTGAGACTTGCATTAATGAATAATATTTTTCGTAGAGGACAAGCCGAGAAGGAGTTTAAAGTAGAAGTTGAAGCAATTGGACGAGTCAGACATAAGAACTTAGTTAGATTGCTGGGATACTGTGCTGAAGGTGCTCATAGGTACTCTATTCTTTGCCCAAATACCTTTGCTGCCTTTTCTCTTTCAGCTTGCTTACAATTCTAAAGATTAGACTGTACTCATTCTGTTATTCTCTTGTTTGTTTGCATTTAATTCTTCATGTTGATCGTTGAAAGTTGAGTCCTAAAATCTGCCTTTTCTTCTTCATGTTATGTGATAGGATGCTTGTATACGAGTACATAAATAATGGAAACTTGGAACAATGGCTTCATGGGGAAGTAGGATCTTACAGTCCTCTTACCTGGGAGATCAGAATGAATATCATTCTTGGAACCGCTAAAGGGTATTGTCTAGCTTCAACTCAATTGAACAAGTTTGAATTTCTCCATCCACCTGTTCCTGGCCTGCATTACATTCTTGGCATTGATGTATTGTGGCTTGCATATGTAGGCTAGCTTACCTTCACGAGGGATTGGAACCGAAGGTTGTTCACCGGGATATCAAATCAAGCAATATCTTACTTGATAAGCAATGGAATTCCAAGGTTTCAGATTTTGGGCTTGCAAAGCTACTATGCTCTGATAACAGTTATATTACAACCCGTGTCATGGGAACATTTGGGTATGTACATGTCTCTTGGGATGTGTCTATATACATATTTTTTGGGTTTCTGATGTGTAAATACAGAGATTGTAATGGGATTTATACTACTTTCCAGCTATGTAGCGCCAGAATATGCAAGTACGGGTATGCTAAATGAAAGAAGTGATGTGTATGGTTTTGGAATACTTGTTATGGAAATAATCTCAGGAAGGAACCCGGTCGACTATAGTCGTCCTCCAGATGAGGTATGCTCCATGCTCTGAAGAAAATTCATGATCAAGTGCTGGATAAACTATTCTTCAGATTTCCGTTTTCCTTCTATTTGGTTATGAGTTTGCAGAGGTTAAATTTTACAGGTGAACTTGATCGATTGGCTTAAGAGAATGGTCAGTAACCGGAATCCAGAGGGCGTATTGGATCCAAAGCTCTCTGAAAAGCCTACTTCGAGAGCATTAAAGCGGGCGCTTCTTGTTGCATTACGCTGCGTGGACCCAAATGCTCAGAAACGCCCAAAAATGGGACATATTATTCATATGCTTGAAGCTGAAGAGGCTACGTTTAAAGGGGTAAGAAGCAAATTCATCAATACTTAGCAAGTTAGGAGTTGCACAATTGATGCAAAGGAAATCTTATTCCTAATTTGTCAAAAAATGCAAATCAAGTAGTCATTTAACTCACTTCTTCATGTTACTTAGCAAATGATTCCTTTCCTCATAAGAATTCATTAGTTCACAGCTGGGAAATTAAAAAATATGCTTCAGTTGGGAATTACATAACCTTTAATTCATTGAATGCACCATTCATCTCTTCCAATCTCTTACAGGTAAATGTGTTTCAAATTCATAATTAAACCAAGTCTGCAATTTTGTCCTTAGGATCGCAAAGCTGGAAAGGACCCAGAGAACTCACATTCAGACAATCTGAAGGATGGTTTAAATGAGAGGCAGGCAACAGAATTAGGTGGCAGCAATGTGGATGAACTCAGTATGCGACAATGAGATAAGTCGATAAAATCTGGACAAGTAGCAGCAACCTTTTCAGCTCGGGACACTCGAGTTGTCATTCGTAACTGTAATGCCAGATCCTCCATTTAGAAAATGCCCTACACGGTCACAGCAATGTCAATCCCATTATGTACATCATTTTTGCTGTCTATAGTTTCCATTGCAGTCCTTACACCATTGAAGATAAAATCAATTCATGTCTCTGTCAATGCCCCTCCGAAGATGGTATTCGAGCCTAAGGTATATTGTTATTTTCTTACACTGTCGGTTCCATTCCCTCACTGTTCATAATGAGAAATTTGAAAATAATAGGAAAAATTTGAAGTAGAGCATCCATAGTTCATTTATAAACATTAATTTCAATTTGTAGGTTATATTAAGTTGTATCCAGTTTATCAACAATGTATGAATGTGACAACAGTTTCCTGATTGGGCATAATAGTTAAGGTGTCCCTTCTGCTCCATGTAACATGAATTTGCTATCATTTTCTCCCAGGAAAGTGTTACTTGACAGCTATGATATTGTCTCTCTAAAAAAACCAGTGGTCCATTTCGAAATAGAAATGAATATTTGAGCATCCCTTTTTGACAGACTTGGCCCTTTATTATTGATGATGATTTTAATGCATTTATAGCTAGAATTAAATGCCATGAGACTTGTTCTTTATCCAGCTGTATGCATCATTGGACATTTCTCAAAAGTATTTGATTTGAAGATTATAATTTGTATACGTAGTAAAAAGAATGGAACCAATAAACTGGTTGTCAATATCATCGGAGGGAAGGGACCCGATCAGAATAATGACCACTAATTGAAGCGTAAGAACAGTGTCACGGTCAAAATTGTTCCGAGCAACCAACTGATCTCGACTGTTCTGCCATTAGAGTGTGCGCCATCGGAGTCTCCCGCATCAACTGGACTTTCCAAGGCGGCCGGTGGAGGGGGAGAAACCGGTGGGTTATCACATACGCCCGTTGTATTTCCCTGCTCATCCATTCAATTTTCCGTCAGCCAATACCCCATTTCTCAAATGCCATCACATCAGGTCTTTTACATTTTTCAAATACTAAATGCATCTGTTTCTCTTCAATTCAAACGCATTTTAGAGTAAATATTTATTTTCCTCATAATATAGGCTACAAACCTTGCAATAGGCAATATTATTACACCCGCAAGTGAGATGGCCATTGGCTACATCCACAGCTTCTGGTGCACCTCCACCATCGCTCCTCTACAAGCAAAAGAACGGAAGTACCGAAGTTATAAATGTATAAAAAAAACTCAATTCCCGTTCTTTCAGTTCCGTCCTACTCGAGCAAATGAAGAGAAATTTAGAGGCAAGTACTGTAAACTCGCTGAAAAATGATACCTGATAGAAATCAACGGCAATGAAATTTGGCCACCGTTTGCCGGCTGCTTGATGGCAAGTATTCATCATGCTAATTAATGAGGCAGAGTTATCGTAACAAACAGCCGTTTTGTTGGGATTAGTAGAAAAATAGTTGAGGAGGATCAAGGATATGGTTGCTGTATCCATGGAAGGCGACTCTGGTCTGTTCAGACAAGATCCAGGCTTCATTCCTTCATTTCCATCTGAGTATGCATCCCACGGTCTCGCTTTTTAAGTGTCATAAGAGTCGTAACAACACACACAAGTACAATGAACAATAGAACGAGCTTACATTGGCTTTCCAGGACATAGCGCCACTGATAAGCGATGCCATCTGAGGCCTCTTTCGATTGTGTAGAGGAGAAAACTAGCAGTCTCTGGTTTTGCTTCACCATATCATCGACGGTTGGCCAATCCCCACCCTTTAGAGGCATTCTGGAAACGGGAAACCAATACTTATCTAGTCCAGAGGCATTGAACACCTTTCTCAAGCGTTGTGGAGACATCACGTAGTCTTCTATGAAGATTGTGACAATCTCTTCTGGGTTTGCTCCCATAAACTTTTCAACTTCTTTCAATACATTGATTGCCGGTTTCTGGAAGGAAGACAACAGTATCACCTTCTTTAGAAAACAGTCACTTAATTATTAGTTCATGATTAAATTATGTATACCAAACTTATTAAAAGAATTAGGCAGAGCACTTACAAATGAAGTTACATTCAGACACTGGCCACCGAAGGAGTGACACAACCAAATATCATTTTGAAAGTCGTACATGTCCAGCATTAGTCCACGAACTCCATTCTACAAATTCATCATATTAATCGTGAGAAAAAATAGAACCACAAATTCTGTATTAAAATTGTCGAAGTGAGAATAACTGGATCATAGTTTGACAGCCACCAATTTCTTTATCGGCCTCAGAGATTTGCAGGTAGGGACGGTCCACCTGCTCCGCTTTTCCACATTTAAAAAAGATTACGCACGTAAATAATATAAGATTGTTCCACTTTATTTGATTTCTTTAAAAAATTAATTTGTTTGCTGGTTCCGTCAAGAAACAAAGAAACAGAAATCTTTTTGGTTGGCAGGAAATTTAAAGATTTATGTTTCTATTTTAAAGAAGGAAAAATGAAAGCGGAAGAGGCTGAAGGAGAGGGTAATGAATGAGAACTCACATTTAGTTGAGTGGTGACCGTATCTTCCTGATTGGTGGGCGTCAGTAGGAACGATCCTGTCTCAGATCTCTCACCGGAACGAGCAAACGAATTGTGAGTCGTAAGCCATGAGTAACGATTGAATGGCAGCCCTTTTACCTGAACAATACAAGCACAACGCAAAATTATCGAAGAAATTTCTCCCTGCGAAACTCAAAATCAGAGGCGATTATATATTGTGGAGACCGACCTTGGATGTCGGACTAATAGGCTGGATGCGAGTGCATCTAGGGCGCGTATTTCCATTTACAGGGCAAGTATTACAAAGCAGACCGGAATCACATTCGTCGCCGGAGGAGCAAGTTTCTCCCATCTGAAAGGGGGCAGAAGGTATTGTCAGGGAAGGAAGAGAGACGAGATTAGTAGCGATGAACAAAAACTGAGAAGAGACACGAAAACCTTGAGAGAGGAGGAGAAGGTGAAGAGACAGAGTGAAATAAACAGAAGTTGAAACTGGAAACAAATGGCTGCTTTGAATCCCTGCCACCATTGAAGAGCAAGTTGAATTGGAATGCAAGAGAAATGAGAGAGAGAGAGAGAGAGAGAGATGAGAAAAGAAAGGCATGCCTGCATTTCTGGGAAGCCTCCGATGGAGAGAACCTGATGTCTCCGATATCCGAAAGGACCTTTTTCTGTATGATTTGATTTGGTGTTGCTTCTAAATAAATCACAGAGGCTTCTTCTGTTGGCGTTTTCAGGTTTGGGGTCGGATTTTTCCAATTTATTTTATCCTGCGGTTGAAGAACAGCGGGTTCGGTAAAACTGGAATCTAATTTTATCTCTACTTTCTATTTTGATTGATAGTCAAACATGTTTCTGATGCTACAACAAGTTTCTAAATATAATTCTCCTTCTATTATTATTATTATTATTATATTCATCCCTTCTATTTTAGTTCATTTAAGGTTCTGTTATTTTTCCAATCTTACGAATGCCAAAAGGAGTGGCACTGGAAACACTTTAACTATGAATTCTGTATTTTGATGGAAAGGACAACCATGGATTGGATTATCCCCTAAGGCTAATAATAAGCTCGTGTTGGAATTGGTCAATTTTACGACAGTAGAGAAGATTGTTTAAATTTATGAAAACATTCGAACATTGTCCATCACCAAGCTTGTCGAGCAAGAGGAGCTTAGGACAAACAGCGACATGACATGTAACATCAGTTTAGCCGAGCGCGAGTGGACTCCCAAACATATATATACTCTATTAAACTCGGGAGAATGATTTATTTAATTCAATGTGTAGGAAATCAAATACAAAAGAGAAACAGTTACGAAGGTTATATGTTCTCCCCTGTTGCTCCTGTTTACCAGCAGCACAAATGCTCTTAAACTTTACATTACCAAGTACAGTAAAATCAAAACAATCTTGGGTTGCTTACCCCATCCATTATTTGCTTTATACTTCTATCTACCGCGTCTGCCGCATATTTGAGCTTTAAAAAAATTAAATTTGAACGCTTAGTGGAAAAAATTATGAGAATACAATATTGAACTGTAAAATAACAACATATTTAACTTGATACTTTGTAACTTCTCCCTTTACATCGTCAAAATTGTTTTGTTGGAGCAGAGCAGATCAGACAGACAAAAACATCATTCATTCTACGGGGCCATCAATCCTTCAATTGTGTAGGAAAGAGATTTAGCCCAATCAGCTCTCAGTAATAGAGTTTGCAACGTTTCCATCACATTATAAGCAGGATCAAGTTTCCGCTGCCAACCCTGTATCCAAATGAGAAATATAAGTAATCACAGAAATGTATAGGTGCTTCCCAATTGGGGACAGTCATTGGATCATAAAATAGTTCCCACACTCTAAAATACATCCTTCCTAGAAAAAAGGGGGAAATTTTGTAGTATAAATGCAATCTTGTCAATATGGCAAAAGCAGACTTAAGTTACCTCAAGAACTAATGTCGTCACCATCACAGTGCAGACATTTCCATCAATGTTGACCCTGTAACGTCTCGCTTTCTCTAGTAATTGCTGCATGGCTTCAGCCGGATGAACTAGATCACCTTCTGGAGTAGCCCAGAAAGCAAACGCCTCAGTCACTTCCTGTAAACAGGGGATCAGATATACCATCACAAAAAACCTACCGACAAAATTCGTGAGGAAAAAAAAGAAAGTGGTTGGAATGAAAGTCCTACTTGAGAATCAAATTTTTAAAGAATTATTCTGTCGCTTTACTTTCAATTAATATTTTTCATTTTGCAAGAAAAAAACCAATAAAACAGCACTTTTGATGCTTAAAATAAGAATAAGAACAAGAAACAAGAAACCAAAAATTTATTTTAAAAAATTTGAATACAATTTAAAGAAAATTCCTTGGAAATGAGAAAGAAGAAACAAAGAACTAATGCCCAAACACATGTTTCTAAAAAACAAGAAACAGTGTAGTTACCAAATGACATTAAAAGCTCAACTCCGCATTCCACAGCCTAAACCACAATTATTCTAAAAGCTTATGAAAAGTAATAATTACACACTATTTACCTCAATAAATGCCTCTGGATCTGGGCAATTTTGTTGTTTTGCTAATTTGAGGGCACGTTCGGCAACAGTACGGCCATCTCTACGAGCAACTGCCTTAAAAAATTCCAATAAATTTACTCTATCATTTCCAGAAAGTTCAGCAGTCATGCCTACATCAAGGAAGACAACATGAGGCTTTGATTTGAAGAGTCGCTTCCGACGGGACTTTTCATTTGACACTCTGACGAGGATATTTCCGGGATGCATGTCTGCATGTATAAAGTTGTCCACCTGAAACGAAAAAAAAGAAGAAAAAAAATTAAACTCCTTGGCATCAAGAAACGTGCAACACTCAAGTAACTAAAGAAACCATCTTGGAATTGGAAAACAGTGTAAAATGAAAACACATCCAAGAAATTACAATTTCTGACATTAGATGAGTGCATGTGGAGGTAAAGAGAGAAAAGAATGGTTTCTTGGCAGATAAATGAAAATCATTTAGAAAGAGGAAAAACAGTCTGCGAAGCTGCAGCAATAAGATACAAGTAATATTACCAGAAGCATTTTTAGAAGAGCATGTGTCCCAATGTGTGCCAATGATGACTTGAGTCTTTCATATCCTTGAAGCTCATCAACATAGTGTGAAACACTTTCCCCTTGTTCATAAGTTTCGACTAAAACAGCAGGATGAACAAGTGGATACACGGGTTTAGGAAATGAAACATCCTTCCACTGTCTAAAATTATAAATAAAGCGGCTCAAGTGTGCAGCTTCCCTAGCAAGGTCGACTTGAGACATCATAAAAACAGCAAATTGTTGGACACTTTCATCTAATCTCAACCATTTGAGAGTAGGAATGAACTTGGAGACTTTTGCTACAAAATCAATTATAGCAAAATCTCTTCTAATCAATTCCCCAACGCCAGGATGTCTGACTTTTACAGCAACCACCATGGGCGCTATTTGTTGACCAGGGTATCGATATCTCAAAGAAGCTCGATGTACTTGAGCAATACTTCCCGATGCAACAGGTTGTTCTTCAAAATTCTCAAATATCTCAGAAAGCTTTCGACCAAATGCCCGTTCTATAGTTTTCTTCGAGTAGGCAAAGCTGTGCTCTGGAGCTTTAGTGTGAAGCTTTGATAACTCTATGCATAAATCTCTAGGGAAGAGATCTGGCCGTGTTGCTGCCCACTGACCCCATTTAATGAATGCTGGACCACCTTTCTCCAAAGAACGGTGAACAACCCGAAGCCAGAGCCTCCTGAAGTGAAATCCAAAGACATCCGCAAATGGAGCCATCAATATGCTAGGCGAGAACAACATTGCCAAATAAAGAGCTCTAAATAATAATATAATGCCTTCTAAAGTAGAAAATAGTAGTGCAATCAGATAGGCATGTCCATCTTGTGCACGGATGTAGAAAGAATTCTGAGATGAAAAGTGGTCTACGTTTGAGAAAGTTCTTTGGGCACATGCTAGCTCTCCACATGTAAAAGCAAATATACCAGGAACCATCAGGTGAGAACGAGACATGGCCAAGCAGAATGCTTGAGCAACTTCATTTAAGGTGGGAAAACTACGGCCATTGGAAGAGAATTTGGAGGAAAGCCTTTTCCAGACAAATTGAGCACGGCGTTTAACAACATTACTGGTTGTCCAGATACAAATATTTCTAGAATTCCTGGTCCAGCTTAAACTTCTTATTGTGGAGTACAAAGGGGAGGAGGCATGTCCTCTGGCTAAAAATCTATAATGTGAGAACAATCTGTTGTGAAAGAGAGGCTCTAGTGTAACAATTTTCCTGCTGTTCCTCACTTCTAAATGTCTAAGACTGTGGCTTGTATGAAGTGAACGCACTGCCTTCCTTATGTTCCCCAACATCAAATATCTGCATGTATTCAAACTACTTTAGCAGCAATATATAAAAACAAAAAATTGATAATAACAAGAAATGTTGGGCTTTAGACAGGTAGTTAAGCTTGCACAAGAATTCATGGGTATAAATTAGATAAATAAATACCTAATCAGAAAAATTAACGATTGGAATACATTCCAGCAAATTAGATTTTCCAAATTAATAACTTATTGAAAAAATAAACACTTTTAGCCTTTGTAGTTTGGATTAACTTTCTGCTCTTTTTTTCTCCATAATTTCAGATCAGAAAATTAATTCCTATATTTTATTAAATACTCCTTTTAGTCTCTATCATTAAATGACCAATCCTGTCACAAATTACTTGCAGATTTTTCAATAGCATGGTTTTTTGAGTGGAATCATATGCAGATGGTCAAGATGCCTACAAGTATTTTCTAAACAATTCGATCTTTGGCACTTTTCTAAAGTTTGGGCATCACCAAATTGTGACTCAGACTACTAGGTCTTTCATATAAATATAACGAAAACAACAGGAGAGGGGTAACAAAGGAGTTGTGTTGCCATAAGTGAAAACGTCGCAACTTCCTGTGTTTGTTGGACAAGTCATAAGGTCCATGTTGAGTGCAAATTACCATAATAGTGTTGCAATGCAATTCAAGCTTGTAGACGATGAGCTTAACAATTAATAGCAACTGATGGCTAAACCACATGCAGTAGAGACCTTAACAATTATTTTTCAGCAGATTACTTTACAAAAAGACTGCTAGTGAGCAAACTCATTTTTAAGGAGACCTTAGTCATTTAACTCATTTCTATATAAGAATAGCTCAACTAGGCAAGGCATAACATATCTCTCCTCAAGATTAAATATTCAAATCTCTATCCCTAATTGTTGAACTCCAAAAAGAAAAATCATTTCATTATATCTATACAAAGTATAATTTTCTTTAACAAGTTTGTGAGTAACAACTCTAAGTAGTTTTCATTTTATTTATTTATTTATTTGTTTTGGAGAATGTCTAAGATCACGACATATGACTTTCCTACCATAAGAAAAATCAATTCCTAAAAATAAGGAAGAAAAATGATCTACATGATTGATACAACGAGATACGAAGTGTCTTACTTGGAAAAATTGTAGGCATTCTAGATCAAGATTTAGGTTTTTTTAAAAAAAGAGAATTGCAAAACTAAAGCTATCCATGTTTTTTAAGAAATACAAATGACATTTGAACTCAAATTACTTGCACCTAGTTCGTTTAAAAAATATTTATTTTTGAAGCTGTAGGCAGCCAATAACTAATGGGAACACATGCTTCAAGAGCAAAAAAACATTGTCCATTATTCTCATTATTTGTCCTAAAAACGCAAGGGAAGTCAGTATGATTCCAGACTTAAGTTTTCCTTCAACATTATTCCTATATCTTTATTTTTGTGATGCGTCCTGGATTTTATTTAAATTGAGAATTCACATGTTAGAATACGAAATCAACCATCTAACACGTCTCTCATAGATTTTCATTCTGAATCTTCCTCACTGTCAATCTGATTGAGCAAAAAGAAATTGGTAACAGGAAGAGAACTAGTTTCCCAATTGTCTCACTGCCAATTATATTCAATCTGTAAATTCAAACGAAAGTAAGAACTAGAAGGTGACCAAAGCTAAGGTAGCATTGAACACCAAAAAATTGTTAAAAGAATCAGCAAGTAACGTCGATCTTAAAAGAAATCAAGTGGATGGGGGGAGGGAGGTGAACATTGAGAGGACATAAATCAAAGAAACCGAAAAGAAAGAGAATGTGAATAAAAAATCAATCTTACCGAGGAAGAGAAAGGAAATAATGACGGGAGAAGAGGACCTTGAGTCTGCAAACCGCAAGTGGAGCGATGGATCTCGAAGGGGAGAAAGAGCGGAGAGGAGGAAGCGAAGAGGTGGCGGTTGGTCGCGGGCGCGGGGTGGTGGATTTAACAGGGGTGAAGCTGGAATCTGAGATGGAGGGAAAGGGGGGAATGGAGAGTGATAAAGAAAGAAGAGGGAGGGAGGGAGGGTTGAACTGAAATTGAGAAAATTAGGGCTGCATTTTGGAAGGAAAAAATAAAAGGGTAATAACTGACAGTATCGTTATATTGCCGCCGTCCTTAGCTGGTGCAAACTTCAAATAAAACTCTAAATATAGAATTTGTCCCTTCATTTTACGTTTATGAAAATACTGAATTTTCTGTGTTTCAATTTTACTCCTCATAATAGCATATGTTCCCTAAATTACTCATCTTTCCTACAATCAGACTAATTAAACTATTTTCTAAGCCTAGTTGAGTCATTGATTTCTTCTAACATTGTTTGTTTTAGGATCTCATTTCGTTTTTCACAATTAAACCAACTCCCATATTTTATTACTTAATACATTACATATATGATTACTCCTATTTATTTCTAAGCATATTTGTATATTAGCCAGCAATCTGATTGTAGTTTGAAAAACAGAAATATACGAGAAAACAATAGAGAAGGAAGAGCTTGATTGATATCAACCAAGATCGACTCAAGACTCAGATTAGTTCAAACTCATTTTTCTTCAACTCGTTCGTTCTTGTAGAGGGGAGAGCTTGAGCAATAGGCCTGATTTTTTTTTTTTCCTTATTAAATAGTTGGTTTCCTTAATTTTCAAAAGAATGACATACCAATAATTGACTCTATCAATTAGAAAAATCACTTCAATTGAATGTAGGGTAAAACAGGCAAATGAATCGATCAACTCAATTTACACAAAGGTTGGCCTAGAGCTTCATTTCCCTCTTCTAGAATAGTTTGGGCAAATATTAAATCGAAAATCTCTAGAAATTCATTAGATCGTTGTTCAACTCACCTGATTCAAGATGAAATATTGAGAGTTGAAAAAGGCGAAATTTTGAATCTATTAATCCAGATGAAATATGATTTATGAATATAGTAACTCTTTAGATTTAATTTTATTTTTATGGTTCAAATATATATACATACACTGATATTTTTTAATTAAAATGTCAACTTTGTACATTGCCGCATGACAATTTTATTTGTTATTATCTCAACAGAAAAGTTTTATTAATTGACCCATTAACATCAAAACCTATATTCATATGTTTATAAATGTGGGTTGACTAAAATAAAATAAATTAAATTGTGACAGAGATTAAAAAAACAGTTAGAAAGTGATAAACACAATTATTAAAATTTTATTTTACACGTAAAACAGAACAAAAATTAGACACCAAACTAAGTCAGAATTTTAAAGAAAAAAAAAAAGATTAATTTCCCAAAAATGAAGTGGTTTTTTTTTTCAAGCCATTATTGGGCTGGCCCACTTCAAAGAATGGCAGCCCAAGCTCGATAGGTCCAGACCCTGAGATTAGAGATCTAGATGCGATCCGCCTGTTTTCTGCAAAAAGAAAATAATAATAATAAGGAAAAATGCAATAAATATTAAAATCTACATATATAATTTTAGGTCGGTGTGATATATTTTACTTATTATGGAGGATTTTTAGTAGGCTGTCAGGTTTGAGGGGGCACATTTGATATATGAATATGTTGAAATTATGATTTATGAATATAGGAATCTCATATTTAAGGCAAATCTAGGTTGTATGAGCTCAAATTTTTTATGAATATAGGAATCTGAAATAGTTAATGGAATAAAGAGAGAGAGACAATACTTGAGTTGAAACTGGGTGCATACAAATAAGGTTGGTTGGATATGCATTACAAAGCCCCGCATCATAATCAATCGGTCGTATTCATAATAAATAATAAACGTACCTCAAAGAAAGGACGATTGGTTCGCCAAAGGCCCACCCTCAAGCAAACCCCATAAATCTCACAAAATCTTGCACTTGTCTCTAATCGCCAGATCTGTGCTGCAAAATTTGCCCCTTCCCTTCCCTTCCCTTCCCTTCCCTTTCTTTAATTAGAGCCCTTCGTTTCCAACAAAATACTTTGGACATTGTGTAAACAAATTCACACTCCAACGTGCTTTCCCAACGCCTACGCTTCTCCAAGATTCGTGGTATAAATATTTGGCCTTCCTTCCATCTATTCACTTCACTCACTCCCATAATAATAAAAAGACAGATTCTTCTCTCACTTTCTCATTCATCTCTTACTCCACCCTCTCCCATAATGTCGGTGGTGCTGGCCAAGACCGACTCCGAGGTTAGCAGCCTGACGCCCTCGTCGCCCAGCTCGCGGCGCCCGGTGTACTATGTGCAGAGTCCGTCACGGGATTCGCACGATGGGGAAAAGACGACGAATTCGTTCCACTCGAGCCCAGTTCTCAGCCCAATGGGGTCCCCCCCTCATTCGCACTCCAACTCTTCGTTGGGCCCTCACTCACGTGACTCCTCCTCCACCCGATATTCCGCCTCCGTCAAGCCCGGATCTCGCAAGGCCGCCAATCACAAGATTCCCAAGCCGTGGCAGCGCTTCGATGCCATTGAAGAAGAGCGCCTCCTCGAGGACGACGGTAGCTCCGATGGGTTTAGCCGTCGATGCTACTTCCTTGCATTTGTTATTAGTTTTGTGGTTCTTTTCTCTCTGTTTTCGCTGATTTTGTGGGGTGCCAGCCGGCCTCAGAAACCTACCATTCTCATGAAAGTAAGTGGATTTTTATTTACAAGGTTAATCTTGGGATTTACGGAAGGAAGTGGGTTAATGAGTGGATATGGTTTTCTGTTTTCTGTTTTCTGTTGGCAGAGCATTTTGTTTGACAAGTTCGTGATCCAAGCGGGGGCAGATTTTTCAGGAGTGGCGACTGATCTGGCGACCATGAACGCGACGGTGAAGTTCGTATTTCGAAATACGGCCACGTTTTTCGGCGTTCATGTCACTTCCACTCCGCTTCAGCTTTCGTATTCCCAGCTCACACTTGCCTCTGGAACCGTATGCAATCGCTACCCTAAAACTCTCTCATTAATTTGCACCGCTTTTCTAATGCGCAGGCTTGTGAATCATTTGATACATTTCTTTGTCTCTTTAGTTGATGAATCAGACAAGGGGACATTGCCTTGTTTTTAAAATATAATTTAGATATATGCTTTGGATTCACTAGATCTACTTATGCATACAGACATTAAATTCTGGCTTCTTGCTTTCTATTTTATTCCAAAATAATTACCACCATTCGATAGTTTTTTATTGTGTTTACTTTTAGTTTTCCCCATTATGTTTAAAGATTGGTGTTAAAAATAATTACCCAATGTTATTTCCAAAATTTATATTTTGAACTCAGTTCTAATGTTTACTTAAAACAAATTGTTTGTTTATTAAATGAGGCGTAGGAAAAGGGAGGGAAGCGTGTTTAATAAGCATTGGTATAAGATATTTGTTAAACATCAAAAGATGGTGGTGAAGTGGAGGATGGATTATTATGGAGTGAAAGGAAAAGAATAGAATATATGTATTGATGAAATGGGAAGCGTTGGAAATGCAGATTCAAAAGTTCCACCAAGGGAGAAAGAGCCAACGAGCCATAGTGGTAACCATGAAAGGAAGCGGCATTCCGTTGTACGGCGGTGGAGCCAGCCTGAGCAGCGTGAACGGAAAGCCGATCGAACCGGTTCCCCTGAACCTTCAATTCACGGTCCGGTCCACAGCGAATGTGTTGGGCAAGTTAGTGAAGCCCAAATTCTACAAGAGCGTGGATTGCACCGTGGTCATGGACCCCGCCAACATGAACAAGCCCATCTCCCTCAGGAATAAGTGCTCCTACCGCTCATCAGGTTAAAAGCAAAACAATATGTTTCTTACATTCATATATGATTGGTGTTCACATTCACAGTTTTATATTTTATGATATGATTTTTTTTTTATGGGTATTATAATATGTGTTTGGGTCCCCATGGTCTCATAAGGCTTACTTTGAACGTTGAATGAAACGATCCCACCCTCTTTGAATTGAAATCTTCAGCAAAATGAAGCTTCCTGGTTTGGTTGTATTCAGACAGTAATCAGTCCCATGATCCTTGTTCTTATTTTTATTGCACAGTTGCTTATCTGTTCCTTTTTCACACCTTACCAGTTTCGTTTTATAATTTATCCGTAGAAAACGTGAGGACTTTTCTTTAACCCCTTCCGGATCAATTCAAACACAAAGTGCGGATTACTTGGAAAATTCTATTCAGCGCGACTTGTGTTTATGTAAACCAATTTCTTTTATTTTTTCTCGGGAAAGCCTGACGACATCAGAACATTCATTTTTTAAGTTGACTATAATTTAACTTCCAACATGGATTTATTTTTTTAGTCTCTACTTTCATTTTATTTCAATTTGCTTTCGATAATATTAAAATACTCAATTTGATTCATTTTTTAATTTGTCTAATAACGGTTTCATAAATTGATTTTTTTTTTTTTTATGGCAAATAAATTTGTGAAATATAAAATTAATAAAAATAATGATTTTGATTGGAAATGAATGGTTATATATTATTTCACATATCAACTAAAAAAATGGTTTTTTTTTTTTTTTTTTTTTATGTACACTGGAGTTGGACCACCCACATTTGGTATGTGTATCCATCCATCAACTCAACCGTGTGTCCACCCATCAATCATCACCAAATTTACAACTAACATAAAATCAAAACTAATCAACGAATCAAATGAATTGTGGATCGTTCATTTTGATTGAAGATCTTCCAAAATTAAATTCTTCAACCCCAAAATATCCCTCCGTCTTTTGCGTCCACTCCGGAATCGAACCGTGATTAGAAATCATCTGACGGTGACCCAACTGTCAGTGATGACCCAGTCAACTGGCCCGTTGTCCACTAGCTGAAGCAGCCGCTCCGTCGGTGAACACGACCACGGACACGACGAATCCAACCAACAATTTGATTCTTCCTCAAATTTCTGATCCATCTCTAGCGAGTGAATTGATGCCCAATCTTCGAAATCGAAAGGGCATCTCGGCGACGTTAATGGTTCGCCCTTGGGCGTCAATGGAACAGAGCTGCTGCCGGAGTCTGCTAGAAATGGATGGTTCAGAAGCATCTCAGCCGTCCATCTCTTTGCGGGATCCTTCACCAGGCATTTACCCAGAAAATCTTTCCCTTCCTCGGAAATATATTTTGGGATTTTCGGCAATTCCTCTCCGATCCCAATTTTCAGTAACAGAGAATAGATGTTGCATTCCACTGGGAAATTCCAAGCGGGTTTTCCGGTCAACATCTCCACCACCGCGCATCCGACAGCCCAAATGTCACACGGCGACTCGTACTCGTCATCGTTCACCGATTCCGGCGACATGTACAGAGGAGAGCCTCTCAATTGAAATTTCCCCTCTTCCCCTGTTTCTGCTCTGTTTTTCCCCGCCTTCTTCGACAATCCAAAATCAGCAATTTTAGCATCGCCGTCACCAAACACTAGAATATTCCGAGGCTTCACGTCGCAGTGAACAAATCCTTTCTCGTGAATATACCGAAGCCCTTCGAGAATCGTCCTCGTGAACCGCCGAACCTCAAATTCCGGCAACCAACCACCGTGGCTCTGTATTCTGTCGGCCAAACTACCCCCACTAGCATACTCAAGAAACAAATTATATAACTCGTCGCCTCTCTCGACGCTGCAGCTCTCACCAAAACACCGTATAATTTGAGGGCAATCACCCAAAAGATCCAAAACCCGCTTCTCGTTCTTTAGCGAGGCAGAGGAGACAGCTGGAGACGATTTAACGGCCATTAACGGAGGAAACTGAGCATTAGAAGTGTTAGAAGGCATGGCTAAATTGATGGTCGCAAAACTCCCACACCCAATCTCATGCCCTCGAATCCACTCCATGAGCAGGTGGAATGAATTGAATAGAATTTGGACGCCTGAATCGCTGGCGACTCTGGTTTGAATGGAAAGGGAGAAAAATCGTAATTTGCAAGAACAGTTTGATTCAACTCTTATTGAGGACGCTCTTTTATAGGGGGAAAAGGATGAGAAAAATTAGAGCACGTGATATTTAGTGAATGCGGAGAGAAAACAGTTTTGTTTTTGCTCTTTCCCATCTTTCCCATCAGAGAGAGAGAGAGAGAGAGAGAGGAGTTATTTGGGAAACGTGGTTCATATGGTGGTCCCTCCAACATTTTTACTGAACCCCACGCGGATTTTAAATGCCAGAGCACCTTGTGTATTTCTGTATTTATTTTTTATTTATTATTATTTTTCCTTTAAATGACTAAACTGCCACCGAATTTATAATTCATTTATGGGTATCACTTTGTCCTAAGCTAACCCTCTGGGTCTGGGGTTACCCTTTTTTCTTTCTTCCAATTAATGTTATTTGATTTAGACTTTATCTACAATTGCTTCTCTATAATGTTTCCCCAATAATTAATCGTACTTTATAAATACCTCAACTTTTCCTTTTTTAGGTCACGTTTATTTTCTTTCCCCTTTTCATTTATTAACTGCATACCATTTTCTTTTTTTAATTAAATATTTCTCTAGAAAATAATTGATTTTTTAAACCTAAAAATATGCAAGCATTCATTGAGGGAGTGAAGCAAAGAATCAAAATTAGCTACTAAACAGTCGTTTAAACAAAAAAGCTTACTATAAAAAGATAAAGTTTTTAGATAAAGAAAAATAAAGTAAAATAAAACAAAAGGCATCTTTTTTATACTAATCTCAAATTCTCAATTATAAGAACAAATACAAATCCACAGATTCTTAATATAAGTAAAGATCCTTCACAATGTAGTGGAAGCAATGATCTAAAATAATAATAATAATAGTTTTTTTTATTAATAATTGCAAAATCTTTCCCTTCGAATAAATAAAAGAATTTTGCAACACCGCCCATTTTTATACTTTGCATTAAAAAAAAAAAAAAAAAAGGAAATGAAGGTGAAGTGTGACATACATATAAATGCCAATAGCTTAGAAAGAAAGTGAAAAAGGAAGGACTCCAATTAAAAACCCGTATTGAT